AAAATTTCATATAATAAATGCGGTCTGCTAGAACAAAACTCAACTCAAGTACTTGAGTGATGTACTAAGTTGGAACAGAGTTTTGCACCAGATTTGAAGGTTCGTAATTTACTCCAGGTTCATTGAATCCCTATAATATAGCATATTCCAGAAAGAAAAAGGCACGCTTTTTTTAGAAGTACTCAAACCAAAATTTTTTTGCAACGTTGCCGAAAAAGGTAATGAGTACAAGCCGCTCAAACCCTATTATATTTTTGATTAATTCGGTCGCTAAAAATGCTTGAAAAAAAAGCTAACATATTCTAGTTTTGCTTATGTTTTAGTCTTCTCATTACCTGTAAGTTTCTCAACCAAAATAAGTTTGTACCGATAGGAAATCTAAAGTTGTAAATTTTGAAGTTCTTCACTTGAATTTTGATTTCGTAAGTTTCTGAAGTGTATAATAAGACACTACATTTATTAATATAAAGAAGAAAATAGGTTCCATTTTTGAAAAAAAAATCGTTTTCAGGAATTTCTAGGTGAATTTTCCAGAATTTTTGGTGCAAGACTTACTATGTCCCAACTTAACAGCATAAGAAAGATTCTCATTAAGTTACAACTCACGAGAGCCCAAAACCCTTGCAGCATTTTTTCATTGACAAAAAATTTGAGAAGTACACGGTAAAAGTTTGGCTCACGTGCTTTCCCCCAACATCTCACCCTGTAACCACGATTTTTTAAATTTTCATCGAGAACACATTTTTTGCACAATATTACTTTATTAAGTCATTTTGAGTTGGATCGGTTTTATTTGATCTCTTGAATATTTCTATAAGAGAGATGATTTCAGATCTCTCCTTAGTGCGGGTGCTCAAAGTACTCTCAATTCGCGATTGGTACTTTACTTTTACTTTCATTCTGTGATCAACTCAAGTAAGCTACTTTTATAGTACTACGCTTTCTAAGAGGCTTGACTCACAATTGAATTTGGCACAGTTGTCCTGGCGCCCCCTCAAGCTGCAGTTCGCCCCGCCTACGAGCAAATCGAGTGTGAGAAAATGTTTTGTTAGCTCCGCCCCGCTCATTCGAAGACGCCGCAATCTGAATTCAAATCGAATAAACGGCTCTGCCTATCGCTATACTAGTATTCGCCTCACCGCTTCCCTCCCTCACACATACGTAGTATTGGAGATTCATTTTCAGCTCATCTCTGAGCTCACAAGGGAATGGTCAGAAGTCGAAGTGGGCAAACCAAACAAGCTGTATACCATTCGATGTAATATAAAACGCTGACTTCGAATCTGTCTTACTTATCTGCTTCCCGCTTCTGTGGACGAAGCTACAAGCCATTAAAACCCATTATTTTGCTAAGAAATTACGCGTGAAATTGAAAATTTAGCCGTGCAGAGCCACGCTCGTCTTAATGCTGGGCCAAAACATGCAGTTAGCTTACTTCAAATTCTTAAAGAAAGAAGCTGAGCTAAAAATGCAACAGTGTGCTCAATTTCGCTGTTTTTATGTGTGATTTTTTCACAATAAAACCGCTTGTAGCTTTGTCCACAGAAGCGGGAAGCAGATAAGAAAGACAGATTCGAAGTCAGCATTTTATACTGCATCGAATGGTATACAGCTTGTTTGGTTTGGCCACTTCGACTTCTGACCATTCCCTTGTCAGCTGACTCCTGGGCCTTGTTTCTTCTGCAAAAGAATTTTCTCATGTCAAAGTTTATTGTTATGCTCTGCAGTTCGGCGCTTGGTAATTAGCTTTAATTAGTCATAAAATTGTTTTTTCTACCGACTTTTCCTCTTCTCAAGAGTTTAATGCGGGTCGTAATGCTCCTACTTATAATCGAAAATTCTATCCACCCTCTTGTTCTCGGTCATAATATTACTATCATAAAGTTAATGCCAGATGTGCAGACTACCTAGATTCCTCAACTTTTCTCGTAGTTATTTTTACATTCAGAAATATTAAGTGCGATGTATCATTTCTTGAAAATGAGCTTATCATTTCTAGCAGAAGTGCATGGTTTTAATTCCGTTTTAAGCAACCAACTACAATTTGTTCGATGGATTCAAAAAAAAAACAGAAGAACATAGAGCTCTGAAATTGAAGAGCTTTTTAGCTCTGGCGAATTATACAATTTTTGTTCTCAATCTCATCTGAAAAATTCTGAATCATTTAGATTGACTGACGAAAGTCCAACCGAAAACAAGTTCCAAATATCTTTTTTGTGCCAAGTATGCAGTTCAAGTCCCCTCTAGTCCTGCATGAAAGGTCATGTACTTTTTTGAAGGAATGAAAGTACAGGAAGATTTATGCAAAACAATTTCCGCAACTTTTTCAATGCCCTCAAGAACTTTTTGAAGACGAACTTTCCCGGATATTAACTTTACAAACAAGCAGGACAAGCGCTCCTGACATGAACTTTGAGTTTTTCATTATACTAAACTTCCTGTACTTACGTCTTTGTGCAAAAAATGCATGACTGCGCTTTCTATTTCGAGGATGCGCAAATTCGGCACGGCTTTATTTGAGGAAATTGATATTGTCTAGGGGGTGGGAAACCGCGTAATTCAATCCGACCTCATTTGCGTGGGAGTTTTATCAGCTTGCATTGGAACCTGCTATTTTGGATGGCAGCCGCGCTCATTTCTAATATTGTTAGTTTCAGTGAAAATAAGGGTGGGTGCTGGGTGGTTCATTCAATCATCAGCAACAAGCAGTTGAATGCAAAGAAACTTTCTTGATGCTAGTTTTTTCCAAGACGTGAAGTTCTACTCAATTTTTTACTAAATCTACTTAGATGAGGTAAAAACCGAAACCGTAAAATTTTAACACTTCCTGAATCCTTTCGTCAAAGCCTGCAACTGTTTTTGTCAGATGTTTACCTTCAAAATTCTTGGAACTATAAGGCACATGAATAAACAGACCTACTAAAATACTCTTATGGTGAGATTACCTTTGGGTTTTTTCCGCTCATTTATGCTTCAAAAACTTCTTTCTAGATGGTTATATTGCTTTCATATCGATGACTTCTACCCTAAATCATGATCGAGAGGTGATAAGCTATCTATTTTTTGAATCTTTTCAGTACAAAGGACTGCGTGAAATTGGCACGCTTCATGACATTAGACAACCAACTTCTGCTGAGCTAATCAGAAAAAGGGCTCAAAATCATGTGGTCCTACTTTCTTCAACAGAAGAACTGCAGGTTATTCAGCAGTTATACGTCAGCAGAATATAAAAGGTGTAATTTGTCTATAATTCATACACTATACATTCCTCTCTTTTTCTCTGGAAATTTAGGTTGGCTAAAAAACAATTCGTTTTGGCATAAAAATCTTTATAAAGTCTTTTCTTATTGTTTTTATCAATGATTCAGTAAGTATTAGGGTGATCGGTAAAAAATGAGACAGCTTGATTTTTATTAAATTTTGAGAATTTTTGTTTCGATCAACAATAAGCAGGCTCCAACGTAAACGTCGCTTATATAAGCAACCTTGGCCTATTATTCTGGCAAAGCGTCAACGCTCCTCTCCCACAACCCTATGCATGGCGCCATGAAGAACTCGAACGAGGTATTTTGAAAATCGCTCATTCTTGCGCTGTTATACCGTAAAGTCGTAAAGCAAATGACATACCATTCGAAAGAGCTCTTCATGCTCTTTGATATGTTGAATGCATGAGATTTCTATTCAACTTCAGAAAAAAATCGAAAAAACCTAAAAAAATAGCTGCTTTTGGCGCAATAAATAACCAATAAATCAAGTTTCATTCTGTATTTTCCGAAGATAGATAAAATGTGAGGTAAGCTGCATATGGATGGATAGAGCGTAAAAAGCTCCTTCAGATGGTACCTATATAACATGCGTTCACCGCGCATTGCGGCAGTAGTACTTCGGATGGTTTTGCATGTTTCACTGCGCATATACTGCCCGAAGTTTATAATTTGTCAAAGTGACTAACTTTGCATTTCAGCCATTATAGAAATAATTAGGTATGTAAATAACCTTATATAGGTATTTCCTGAAAGAGAATAGTTTATTTTAACAGCCATCAGAATTGGGAAGTTTAATCACTTTTCTTTCTTGAGAAATCTACAATTATTCTCTAGTTGCCCCACTTTTTATCGATCACTCTAATAGTTCAAAACTTTTCCTATCATACATCAACTATTCAGAATTTTAAATCAATAGAATTTGTGATCTGCCAGTTCAATATTCTTCGACCGAAAACCAAAATTCTAATATTTGCGCACAATGAGAAAAATGGGGTTTCTTACATATTTGCGAATTTATCTCATTGCGAAATAAATTCTATTCAAACAAATTTTATATTCCAGTTCTCCGTGAAGTGCTCTTTATAGAGGTACCGAATACTGGGCAAATTCTCTGCAGCATCTGTAGGAGCCGCAAAACCGACCGAAACTATTTATTGGCCAACCTAATTATTAAAGTCATATTACCAAGTTCATTATCGTCTGTTAAGTACACTATACTAAAGACCAACTTTTTTGTTCCATGTTCTATGACAAATAATACAGTGATATATGCTGCTTCCATTTTCTGGGCACAAACTACGAATTAACTTAGAAAGGAAAGCATCAATTACATACTATACCTTAGCTTACCAATCAAGGAATTATTTTGTCATTATGAAAAAGAGCTAATACTTTAGTCTACCAGTTCCAAAGTATATTGTGAGTCGTAGTACTTCTGCTATTTATTCTGATTGATAAATTTCGTGGTTTGTTTGCGTGCAAACGTTGCATGTCTTAATTTCTGAGCAGTCATCAGAAGCCAGCACACTTTAGCTTTACAGCTAGAAACTTGATTCTTTTTCTTATTTTCTTTCTTGTTTTCCTAGGAATCGTGTTTATGTAGGCCTTCCCGTTTTCAATTTGTTTCCCATTTTTCAAGTTAAATTATTCTACCCAATCATTTCTAGATTTTCCCGAGTTTTTCTTACCGGTTGCTGTTCTTATCCGACCTTTCCCAAATTGGATACTTCAGAAATGGGGAATGAATCCTCAGCCCTTGTGAAGCTACGACGTGGAAGTAAAGATAAGCAGCCGGCCATCATAGAATATAGTGAACGCAGGTAAAACTTGTCATTTTTGATTTGCCGCATGGCTCGCTAAAGCACAGTCGAACTTCTTTTTCCCTAAAATTATGCCAGTTTTTCTGAATTTGCTGTATCGAATTCTATTTGAGATGATGTCATTCGTTTGAATTGACACTAATTGAGTTTACTGCAGTCGGCAGCTGTGGCCCGCAAGCTTTTTGTCTTGTTTAAGAGAAGAAAATGATGGTAGTAAAAGTTTTCAAGGTCCTGAACCTTTGGTTCGAATAAGCTTTTTCTGGCGAAGTGGGGGAGTTTGAGCTCAGCAATTTTCCAACTCAAATAAAACAAAATATAAAAATCTCTCTATCGAAACAAGAATATCGATGATCTACCATTTCTGTTAATCTATTTATAATTTTCAGCGTGACTCCGGTCTATAAGAAGAAAACGAAATCACCTCGAAGCATAAGTCATGGCCGAGCAAACGAAATACGCAGGGTGACACCGCCAAAAATTGAGAGCGATAACATATCATTAAAAAGTGCCGGTAAGTTTAACCTAACCTTTACTGTCAACTGTCAACATCGGTGAACCATTATATTTGCTCAAAATCACTGCCAAATTGATTGAAGGTCAAGTATTTTGCAATTAAAGCCATGTTCCTAGAAACCACCCTCGGCACTCGTTGGAGACTTTGTGTTAGATATAAAGAAAAGAAAACAGAAAAGAGACGCAATATTACGTCCAGACTTCATAAAACCGCGCTAAAAGAACGCAAAAAATCTCAAGCAGTTAATTAAGCCAGCGCAGCTATGAAACCCCCTTATCTTAAATAATTTATGGATCTCACAGCATAAATCGCAGATGCATGCATGGAAAAGAAGATTTAACTCACTTGCTTTAAAATGGCCGTTTCCCGGCTTTTTCCTATGCCAATTTCAGTGAAAGAAAATAGCCGAAGCAGTTCTTTGGAAATAACCTATAAGTTCGAATAGAGAGACTTGGCCAAAAAAATGTTAAGAAAGTTGCTAAGGGGCGAAAGATATAGAAGAACGAGAGCAAAAGAAAGGAAAAACTGTTGAAGATGAAAGATATAGAAAGGAACAAAGTGGAAGAAAAACCCTTCTTTTAGAGCAGTGGGGAAAGAAACGGCAGTTAGGAAGAGAGATCAAAGATCATAAAGATCAGCAATAATAGTTCACTTTGCCCTCGAAAGAAATTTTGCCCTAAAAAATTAATAGTTTTCCTGATTTCTAAAACAGTAGAAAAAGAGATGGAAGTCACCATCGAAATTGCAAAGAAGTATAAAAAACACAAGCCTATCATAGCAGATTCTTTGAAATACGTCTCCACATCATTTTGTTCCATTTTATTCTCTTCTTTTCTTCCTGTCTTTCAATCACGAAACTGATTGTCTATTTCAGCCACTGGGACTCCAAAGCAACTGACAGTCGAAGCTGCTGAACTGAATTACTTACAACCACTGACCCCAGATCGAAAACGAAGTCGAAGCCTGTGTACAGCACAATTGCTGCAGGATACTCAGGTAAAGTAAATTTACAAGACCTTTTTCATAAGCTATCAGGAAAATCATTTAATCTCTGGCCGACGAAGCTAATTTTTCCCGCAATGTTCCTTTGTGATTCTGTTGTCCAAGCATTATTTTCGCCATTGCAAAGTTTCAAAAAACACATATCCGACACTTTCTTCCAAATAAAATTACACTGTTTCTTCTTGCTGATTGGGTAATGTTATTTGTGTCTGAGGTGACAATGAGGTTCAGAGCGAATCCAAACGAAAGATCTTTGCTCATGGTAGTGCTTTGTTTGTGTTTAGTTGATCAGTTTGAGAGCTAAGATTGAGCAAAATTAATTTTCACGGGTGTTTTTGTTCCGTTCTTTGATGTGCTAAGCTAATAGCAGAGCTTAGATGCATAGATCCATTAATTGCCAGCACTTCTTGGGGTTTTTTGGCTGGGAAAAAACATAATAGAGCGGGTAATTAGCTTGTTGGGTGGGCAAACAGTACATATGAGATTAGCTACATACAAACAGCAACAAAGTTCTCCATAGTTCTTCACAGATTTGCGGTCTTTTCAAAGGCGCCGTCCGCCAAAATTAAGATTGGCGAAATTTTTACCTTATATTGTAGCGGGGCCCCTAACTAAGTAATCGCTACAGTCCCGCCGCAAAAAGATGAATTTCGAAGCGAGAAAAACGCTCCAGAAAGTAGAAGCAGCCCAGGTGGCTCCGCCCATCAACGTGGGTGGTCTGAAGATAAAAAATCCAGGATCGAGGTTTGATTTATCTAGAATTGTCACGAATCCGGCCTTCATTACGATTAACAGATTTCCAATACTTTTTATCTACCATGAAGCCCGATTTCGAGCTCATAGCCCTTAGACCACCCACGTTGATGGGCGGAGCCACCTGGGCTGCTTCTACCTTCTGGAGACTTTTCTCACTTCGGAATTCATTTTTTGCAACGAGACTTGGGCGATTACCTAGTTAGAGGCCACATTATTATACCGTCAAAATAATTTCTAATCTAGGTGGACGGTGCCTTTGAACCCCCTTTCCTTTGCAGATGCAGGGAGCGAAGAAAAACTCTCATCTTATCGTCACTTCAATGTTTATATTATTCTGAATAATCCAATAAATATGTTAATTGTATGAATATGAATATGAACCTCTCCTTAAATGAACCCACCATTTCGTTTCAAACGCTGGTTCGTCAAAGACGCACCAAATTTACGGCTCTTTTGATATATAAACCTCTTTGTCGTAGTTTATGCGGTTATATTCATAAAAGCCGATATCTTCTTCCATATAAAGACATAATTAATGCGATTTACAGGCAGCTGCAGCTCAGAAGCAGTTAGAGGATAGGGGAAGCGGAGCACTAATGACGAACGGCAATCGAAAAATGTCCACTGGCCTTGTTCCTCAGCTAAATCGACTACGAATACAGCAGTGTTTCAAAGCGGCGAGGTAAGCGTTAACTTTTTGATAGCAGACGCATGGAGACATGTTGAAACAAGTCTGAGTGCCCGATTACAGTATCCTGACCGGTGCGCATAAAAAATGTACGGTTTGGGCGCACGTTTGAGGACAAATTTCTATAAAACGAACGAGTCACATGAGCTGTGGGGCAGTAAGTCCCTTCCCCCCCCCCCATCTTTCCACATGTGAATTTCAGATACCCACCCAAATTTGCCTGGACTTGCCTTTATATAATGATATTTCGTGATTTCTTGCCCATTCCCAACTGCACATTGTCATTTACCCGTTGATCTACAACTTCTGGACTTCCTCCCTAAAAATTCTGCTCATTTTTTCTCCTTACAACAAGTTTGAATCGATGCAAACAGTGTAACATATTTTGGTTCTCTCCTTTCTTGCCAAATTAAAAAATGGAATATTCAGGATCAATCAAATGTCACAAATTAGTTTGAGAAGCTCTGCGTTGAAACTTCCTCTTTGGTACTTTACTCTCTTAATGGTCTTATTTGGAAAAAAGATTATTGAGGAACGATAATGCTGTAAAATCAAATAATTTTAGACCTACCATGGGCGATGCTATTCTGAAACGCGCTGCCAGCAATCGTTCTGAGTTCCGAAGTTTCATGAGCAGGCTAAACGATCAACAAACTGAACACATGGGCAAACAGTTCTACTCCCTTATAGCCGAATCTGTAGAAAATATTGAAAGGGCGGAGTTGGTGAGTACAAAAATTCATACTTTCTTGCTTTGAAAAGAGGACACTTTTTTCAGATTCAACAACATGCACGAGCATTTGGCGAAACTTACGCGGGATTGTGCCAACTAGGATTCCGACCAGATTTCTTTTCTGCTTTGGCTGATGCAGCCATTGCAGAATGCGTCAAACTTGATGGTGGAGCACATAAGAGGTGAGCGGAAGTTCTTATCCATCATCTGTATAGACTTCTTCTCCCCGTCTCAATCATCAGACGCCCTGTGTTAATAAGTGTCCTGCCAAACATCGCTTTGCGGCTGAGTGTCTGTTGGTTACGGTAGAAGCGCGCCAAAATAATTTATTTTGGTTTTTGCTCTGTTTGATGCTTGAAGGACTCTACACACCCACGCGCTGCACCACGCTACATCAGAGTTAATCCTTGAGCAGCTCCAGTACAGTCTGGAAGATTTTCCTTTCGAAGACACCGCCCAAACAAAATGCGGGTAATGAGATCTTGATGCAATATAATACGGGGCCCCTAAATAAGCAAGTGCCCAAGTCCCGCTGCAAAAGATGAATTCGAAAGCGAGGAGTCCGCTCCAGAACGTAGAAAGGGCCAAGCTGGCTCCGCCCACCATCGGAATGAAGACAACAATCTGAAACCTGAGTTTCAAAGTATCCAGAAATCGCCATAGAGCCCCCCCCCCATTATGACCATTAAAATTAGGAACTTTTTCTATCCTAGAGCTCAATTTCGGACTGTGATCTTCAACCATCCAGCTGATGGGTGGAGCCACCTTGACCGCTCCTAACTTCCATAGCGATTTTATTGCTTCGAAATTCATCTTTCGCAGTGGGACTGGGGCGATTGCTTAGGTGGGGGCTCCGCTACTATACAGCATCAAAATTTCGTCACATTCCAATGGGTGGAAGGTGCCTCTAATACAGTGTGCTTGCGGTGCTGAGAATCGGGGACCAATTTTGCGCATGAACAAATAGCCATACCAGTGATGCCGACATTTTGCGCCCGCAAGTGACAGGCATTACAGATGTAGCCTTTGATTTAACTGGCTTGGCGGCTGGAAGGCGGGCTTCGTGACCTAATTAAAGCTAGATAATGATCAGCGAGAGAGACGCAGACTGCCTAGCGGGCGCGAGCGGTCTTGAATAAGTCACAAAGCCCCGCCTTCCAACCGCCAAGCCTGAATCAAAGGTTATTATTTGTTGAAGCGCAAATTTGGTCCCAATTTCAGCAATGCAAGCCATTCCATTAACTGGATAATCTACTAGACTACATGAAAAAGCCACAGCGCTTTCTCACACTAAGCTCATCAAATTGACATTTTCCAGATGTGAAACACTCTTGGCATGGAGCCAACTGATCGGAGCAATTTTCACATCGGTTCGTGACGGGTACTACAATCGTGTACGATATCAAAGAAGGTACTATTAAAATTCGCTCAACTACGGTCCCTTACTCCTATTAATGCATTTCAGGTCCTCCTTGCCCCAAAACACGCTTACGAAGCAACTATCGCTCGAATTTTCCAAAAGTATAGATCAGGATGCCTACATCCAGTGAAACCATCGCCTGCTGCGGAATCCAAATATTTCTTGAGCCAAAACCTTTTGCAGACGTTGATTCTACAAAATTCGCTTTATGGTTGTACACACCACTTATCCTATATTTTTCAGCATTGTATTTTCTGTGGTCAACTCTTGCGCGAATGATAGCGCCAAAAAATTGTTGTTCATTGCTTATCACTTGATTCTATTATTTTACGGCTTCGCTATTTTTCTGTCTTATGTACATCTATTTGTAAACTATCGCACCAAGCATGTCTACTACGACCGTTGCCGCGTTGCGCTTGTTTGTCTTCGTATCGTCTCTCCTACTCTCGCTAAGCGCTGGGCGTCGACTCAGTATCGCGCTCACGCAAAGGTAGCGTCCGGAGTTGCCCGTGTGCCGGCGCTGTGCCAGCAGCGTTCCAGCGCCGCGCAGGCTTACTGTGGACGCGCCGGTATCGATTGATCGATATTGGGCACGGCGCTGGCACGGGTGACTCTGGACGCAAAAAAATCCGCAGCTTATGCACCGCGTCGGTGTTTCACTCGAGTTCGAGATCTTTATGAAAATATGTACTTACGGGCTCCTTTTGGGATTACTTATACTGTATCTATTTTGTTTGCTGTTTACCTATGTGCTTATGAATCCCCTGAATGTTGTTGCTTGTGTTCTCACTTGCTCTTCAAATAAACATTTATTTGTGAGTTATCGCTGATTCATAAATATACAAAGAAATAGGCAGCTTGCAAAATTGAAAATGCAAAGTGAAAACGGGAAATAATATATCACCAAGGGCTTCAAGTCAATCTCTACCCTAAAAAAAATTTCTAGAAGAGACTTAACGGCAACATGCATGAACTTTTAGTGCGAACTGCTCCTCAGCTCCGCCGATGCCTGACGATTTGACCAGCGAATAGTCTCCAAATCGATAATTGTCGACGTGAGCCTAAAGCGGTACATGGTCATAAACATCATTTTTTTCTCAAATAAAGAAACATTTGCAAATTGCCCTCATGCCCATTATTGTGCCCTGAGGCTGTTCATTAGACTATTTTTGGAAACGGAAGATGGTGTCTATGGTGAGGAGAAGAAGACAGCACATTTGCCGCTGGTGTGCACATAATCGCGTATATGAAAAAACTGCAATAGAACAGCTGCTGTTTGCTTTTGTGACGTTCGCCGAGCCATTTACTCTGGCCTAAATTTGGGGCAAATATCGTCGGCTTGATACAAGGTAGATCATTGATTATGTCCGATTACGTCCACGATGCCCCGCATGTTTCACCGCTGAGGCGATGATATTCATTCCAGGCCCATACGCACATCCACCATGAAGCAGAGTAGTAGGAGGTTACCCTTTCATTCAACGAGATGGCGGCTGGATAGCGACCGCTCCCGTCTGCGAGCAGTCTGCATCTCCCTCGCGAACGTGTTCTCTGATCATTTTCTAGCCTTAAAGGCAAAATTTAGTTGCCGAGTTTTTTGCATTTTGCAAGCCTGTCGGACCCTGTCTAGCACTCTATGGGCCTAAAATCGCTCGAAGTTCCCAAAAACCCCGTTTTCTGGAGGCCCCGCGGAAGCAACGTGGACGAGTTGTACCTACCAACTTCAGCCTCAGCCACAGTGGCAGCAACACAGGGGAGGTGGATGCCAAGTGGAGGGACATGTTCAAACGCGTAAGGGGGAAGACCGAAGGAGCCGTCCGCGCGTACCCAGTCGCTCTCCGCGTACCACTTTGAGCGAATTTTTTTCAGCGTGGAGGGGGTCAAATTGAGTGGGACTTGTTGCAATGGCCTATTTAGAGGTCCCTGTAATAGAATATGTGAAAATCCGCGCGACCTCAACTTTGGTGAGACACTGCCTTTAATTAAGTTATGAGCCCCGCCTTCGGCCTAAGACATACTTCTCGCGATTCCGCGAAGTCGCTACATCTACGCAGGTTAGCGATTTGCCAGATGTCTTCAGATTAACCATGCGTGGGTCTCAAATGCATGGGCGCGTAAATTCCGTGAGCTCCAGCAGACAAAGCAAGTGTGTTCCAAGCAAAGTGCGTTTATGCCAGTTATGAAGAGTCGTTTGCCAGATCCGGTAGCGACTGAAATCGCGTGACGCATGCTTTAGGCCTTCCAGCCACCAATCCAGATGAATCGAAGGGTGTAGGGCACTCGAAAAATAGTGACGATGGCACTACCGCGCGCGACACGCACGCACTCCTGGCCTTCTCTTGATTTTCATCCCTAGTCGGATGGGTTTTCTGCTTACGTAGATTACAGTAATTGGACACTGGAAGTGACTAAGCTGAGCGTTGAGGTGTGCCCTTTTGTATGAGTGTTATGAGTGTTTTATATTCGACGCCATTTTCAAAGTTGATTATTCTCAAAGAAGTGATGAGGTGGCAAAGATGTGCAAAAAGCTTAATGCAATAGTACTGAAGAAGTCCTGATAGAAGGGTAGTTGTAAAGAAGTGATTTCAATGATTTATAGCTTGCGATTGGGAGAATTCGAAGGATTCGTTCGGCGATGAGATCCTGCGAATGCATGAGATTGGCTTGGGTTGTCAAAAATCTTTGCGATGTTATCAATATAAAGAAATAAATGATATAAAACTTTTCCCTATAAAATTTTGTTCCCTGGGAATCTCAGGAGCTGTCAAAAAAAAATCAAAACATGCTACTCGAGATAGACAGCGGGTAATCAAGGGTGAAGATAAGTATTATGAAACTGCGAAGCTCAAAAGCTGCTTAAAGGCACCGTCAATCCTAAGTTAGGCCTTGAGCTTTCGGCAGCCTTTGATATTGGGGCCCCCTATCAAGCCAATGCCCAAGTCATGGCGCATGTCGCTTCGGAAGCGAGAAAATCGCTCCGGAATAATGAGGTTGCCAGGGACCCCCAGACGGCACCGCCCTCCCCACACCGTTTCGGAGAACCGGTTTGAAGGTTCCCCGAAACGAGGATTGTCGGGGGTTTCGCGGTTTCTTGACCTCATATTCGGAATCAGAAACATGCGAAGGGCCTGAAACGAACAACCTGGAAGTTGAGAATCTGGGTGAACGGTGCCTTCGATGGTCGGTTTCGTAGGTCACCGTCACTCCAGCGGAAACATGTATTTTAATAGGCATCTGGTACCTTACATCAGCACCAAATGCCAATTGAAAAAGAACTAGCGAGCTGGAGAAATACTTTGTGCCTTTAAGACGAGCTTGACAAATTTGATATACTAGCTGGCTTACCCGGCTCCGCCGTATCCGGGCCAAACTTGGCACACATACACTTCGGGCCCCGGCGGGTGTCACAGTCCACTTTTCGTTATCGATCGATGTCGATTTTACCGATTTTTATCGATTTTTTTGCAGAGTTCACCTACAGGGCTAGGAGTTGGCACAGGGGGAAGTGAGCATGGGGATTCCGAATACAATATTAGTTTTCAAGATCGTCCATTACTTTTATCGATTTTATCGATTTTTTGAAAATTTGAGCTAGGGGGCTGGAATTTGGCACAGGGGGGTAATCGAGCATGCTGATCACCCCCCTTGGGGATGATCAGCATGCTCGATTACCCCCCTGTGCCAACTCCCAGCCCCCTAGCTCAAATTTTCAAAAAATCGATAAAATCGATAAAAGTAATGGACGATCTTGAAAACTAATATTGTATTCGTAATCTGCATGCTCGATTACCCCCCTGTGCCAAATTCCAGCCCCCTAGCTCAAATTTTCAAAAAATCGATAAAATCGATAAAAGTAATGGACGATCTTGAAAACTAATATTGTATTCGGAATCCCCATGCTCACTTCCCCCCTGTGCCAACTCCTAGCCCTGTAGGTGAACTCTGCAAAAAAATCGATAAAAATCGGTAAAATCGACATCGATCGATAACGAAAAGTGGACTGTGACACCCGCCGGGGCCCGAAGTGTATGTGTGCCAAGTTTGGCCCGGATACGGCGGAGCCGGGTAAGCCAGCTAGTTCGATATAAAACAGCTACATTGTTTGCATGATGATGTATCCATGCCAAGATTTTTTTTGCAGAACTAGTCTTGAGGCTATGGAGCTAAAAACCAAATAAAGGTGTGATTGCGATAGTAAAAACACTGGTTTTGGTAAAGTGACGTGCTTGGCCACAAACGCTCAACGCTGCTGATTTTTTCTAGCCAAATACACAGTCTCGTAAACTTCTGCATACTATGTGCTTATTTTCATTGTCGAGCTTTATAAGCTAAGTATTGAGGCTCATCGTGCTAACTCTGGGGTAAGGTTGGAACCTGGTTGAGAAACAGCGCGAAAACGCAAATATTTCCCAAGCGTCGTTCAAAATATTTGTCGAAAGAGCTTATTTTATCGCATAGACTCGGTAGAAGCTAATTAGAGACATTTTAAGAGCGCAGTGACTTTAAAAGCATTTGAAACCATCTGAAAAAAGTAACGCTCCTCCTTTTAACTGCACCTGGTCCAGTGTGTAGTAGATATTTCATACTTTGTTATTGCAACTCTACAAAAAACTTGGACTCGAAAGATTGCAATCTTGAATGAATAATGGACCTTTGTTTAAGGTGTTCGTATAATTATGAACCGCTGAAAATTTGCATTAGGCGCAAAAACACTCCTAAGATTGACATCAATTTCCATTCTTTTTTTATCAAATACCGTTTTCGGATGTGCTTTTTCGCGTGGTACCAACGACTTTTTGAGTTTCTTCCAAAAAATCCAGAAATTTCTGAAATTTGGGGTGGTCGTATAATTATGCACCGCACTTTATTTATTCAATGCATATCATGTGCAATTCCTACCTTTCAGAAAGTCTGAACAATACCATTTGAATTAAATTTTGTTCTCATGCTATTCGAGTTTCTACAAATGGTCTTAGTTTGTCTAATTTCAGGTTGGCATGGCTGCTCCTTGGCAAGATGCAGTAGAAATGCTGCTTATACGAATTATAATTTTAGAGAAGGTGCAAAGTTTTTAAGTATGCTTTTCGGAAATCGTTTGCACTCAGGCTCAATCCGGCATCATTCGACGACAACTTGATTTCGAAGCACCGTCTGATAGGAGTATCGCGAGCATTTACAAAGTTCTGGAGGATAAATTGTGAGTAATAAGTCTATGAGAAACATACACAACTTGGAGCGCGTTTTTTTCTGGGAGTTCGATATGATTAAAAAAAGCTATGTTAGAACCCCCCCCCCCCGATTTATGGTTATTGCCCACAATTTGCATATTTTCGTAAAAATAATATTGCTGAGTGAATCTCTTGCATATTTAGGGGAACACTTCAGAAGGTACAAGTATACTACACAAACTCGCACATTAAGCATCGAACAGATTTGGTACGCTCGTTCAAATCAAACTTTCTAGCATTGTATCAACCTAGCATGTTTTATTCTTCAAAAAGCTTGGTAACTCTTATATTGAAGCCCAACTCTGCAGACAAAGCTGCCTGCCGGTGACCCAAGGCAACTGCGAGATCTTGCCAGAAGCAAATCACTTGTTATCTTTGTAGTCGCAACGGATGGTGTTCGAGTGTTTTGAGAAGCGGCTCTGATAACAGTCGAAAATTGCTTTATTCACAAAAATTAAAATTATTTATTCACATTGCGTTGAGTTACTCATTCGCTGAATTCATGTACGTATGTAGAATCTGTGTGTGTATGCATAAAAAATATTTTGTCTTGCTTTCATTACAGCAAAAAAGAACTCTAATAACTTCTGCATACATCAAATACGCAAGCTCATATTTTTGTTGTGTCTCTCTATAGGCCTTGTTTTGTCAGTCCTTGCACTGTCTCTTCGCCCTCTTCTCTTTTCTAGCATAATATGGACAGACTTTGTAGATGAACGATATGAAAGGGAAGGCGAAAATGAAAAGACAGAGGATGTTTGAAGCGAATTTTCGAAGAACAAGAAGAATACCTTAACTATGTAGTACTTGCTTTGTATGCGCTCGCCTTCCTTGATACCTAAGAACTTAGGATTAAAGGCACTCAACCTTGATTGGATAAGCCTTCTATAAAACGAGAGTACTCAGAATCTGCTTGAAACGCTGAGACCAAATCTGTTGCACTTAGTTGCGAGGCATTATTCTGATCGAAATCATGGGATTCTGCGCAAAGAAATGCTTATCGACTTACATCCGGGATATAAAAATGAACTCTACTGCTGTAGTCTGTACGACATCGTGCAAATATTTGCTAGCTGCTGGAAAGGATCCATTTTCGATTTTTTTGCAGAGTTCACCTACAGGGCTAGGAGTTGGCACAGGGGGGAAGTGAGCATGGGGATTCCGAATACAATATTAGTTTTCAAGATCGTCCATTACTTTTATCGATTTTATCGATTTTTTGAAAATTTGAGCTAGGGGGCTGGAATTTGGCACAGGGGGGTAATCGAGCATGCAGATTACGAATACAATATTAGTTTTCAAGATCGTCCATTACTTTTATCGATTTTATCGATTTTTTGAAAATTTGAGCTAGGGGGCTGGAATTTGGCACAGGGGTGTAATCGAGCATGCTGATCACCCCCCTTGGGGATGATCAGCATGCTCGATTACCCCCCTGTGCCAACTCCCAGCCCCCTAGCTCAAACTTTACAAAAAATCGATAAAATCGATAAAAGTAATCGATAATCCCGAAAACCAATATTGTATTCGGAATCCCCATGCTCGATTACCCCCCTGTGCGAACTCCCAGCCCCGTAGCTCAAACTTTGCAAAAAATCGATAAAATCGATAAAAGTAATCGATAATCCTGAAAACCAATATTGTATACGGAATCTCCATGCTCGATTACCCCCCTGTGCCAACTCCCAGCCCCGTAGGTGAATTCAGCAAAAAAATCGATAAAAATCGATAAAATCGATATCGATCGATGACGAAAAGTAGCCTATGACACCCGCCGGGGCCCGAAGTGTATGTGTGCCAAGTTTGGTCCCGATCGGTTCAGAAATGGAATTTTCTATTCGGAACATACGTACACACATACAGACAGACATACAGACAGACAGACAGACAAACAGACATTCAGCTTTATATATAAGATTTCAGAGATTAGGCAATATCTTTGACAAAGAGTAAAATGACAGTTCAAATCTTAAAGATGAAGCACTCAATGAGCGAAGTTCATAGGATCATTCGAAATTCAGACGGTAGTACACAAAGAATTACTGAAGAGTAAAACAAATCAAAGAAACCATTGAGCAGCTGCAAAGGAATTTGAAAAGCAGGCGTACCTGAGAAGGCTTTTCAAGAAACGAATTCGAAAACCGGAAAACTTATTGCATAGCTTGAGATCAGAGTGCACAAAAAATGGTGCACTTGCTTCATGCCCAGTAGATTTAGAAAGGGCAAAATGGCCATACGCTTACCTGGTAAGCTCCAATCTGAGTGAAGGATGGTGGGCAGTTCCCTAGCGCAAGTATACAATAACCTTTGTCATTTACCAGCCATCCTAAAAAACAATCTTCTGTTAATTTTCAATCTTGTTTGCTAGAAATCTTACCAGGTAAGCCAGGTAGACCATCTTTGCCAGTTTCACCTTTTTGGCCGGGCAGGCCGGGAAGGCCCTAAAAATGCTTTTGCCACAAAACTTCACTTTCAGTCTAAACAAGGAAACCAACTTCTGGGCCCCTTGCGCCAGGGAGTCCAATCTTTCCAGGTGGCCCAATGGGTCCCATCATGCCTTGCGGACCCGGTGCTCCAGGTAGCCCGCGTTCTCCAATAACACCAGGAGCACCAGGGATACCGGCCAATCCGGCTTCGCCTTTCTTACCAGGAAACCCAGGAGATCCTGTCAAAATTAATCTGGTGCAGGGGAAGACAGAATTTAACGGTTGACTAACCTGGGCGCCCGTTCAGCCCATCATCTCCCTTGATTCCTGGCCATCCAGGAGGACCTGGTTGTCCAGGAGTACCTGGCATACCCTCAGCTCCTTTCTCTCCTTTCGAACCCGGTATTCCGGGTGTGCCAGGCTCACCTATCTAGACTTAAAGCTATAACTTACAGAAACAAACAGATCCAGTAACTTACTTTCCCAGGTAGACCCGTATCACCTTTGCTTCCTGGAGTTCCAGCAGATCCTATTTCACCCTTTTGACCGGGGTAGCCCTAAGAAGAGAGGCCATGCACACAATTTTACATTTTTGAACAGTAAGCGACTTACTGTGCTGCCCTTGTCACCTTTCATTCCAGTGGGACCCATTGGACCGGGTTCGCCTTTGACGCCCGGGATCCCTTGCATACCATCCTTACCGGGTTTTCCTAAATCATGGAGATTATGGGACTCATCAATATGGTGTGGCTTACATCATTACTGGAGGAAAAAATTATTAATATGAGGTATAGGACGAAAACTGCTTTCTAGTTGCAATAAAAGGATCAAGAAACGAGTCAAAGCAAATTCACAGAAGCTGAAGATAAAGAATGGGATGACAATCTTTAAAAAAGCAAAAAAGCTAGCATTCGTGCCATTGCGGAGTTCAGTAAAGTGCGTATAATATTTTAATATCTTATGCATAACTAGTTGACTTACCCGGCTCCGCCCGGCCCTGTCATTATTATATTCGTAATCTGCATGCTCGATTACCCCCTGTGCCAACTCCCAGCCCCGTAGCTCAAATTTTGCAAAAAATCGATAAAATCGATATCGATCGATACGAAAAGTAGCCTGTGACACCCGCCGAAGCCCGAAGTGTATGTGTGCCAAGTTTGGTCCAGATCGGTTCAAAAATGGAATTTTCTATTCGGAGCATAAATACACACAGACATACATACATACAGACAGACAGACAGACATACATACAAACAGACATTCAGCTTTTATAAGATATTTTCTAATATTTTACAAAAATCCAAAAGACATTACATGCGCAATCGGTTCAAACATTTTTTTCCTGAATGCAGCACAGCTCGAGATTAGAACCGTAGAACCATAGAAGGGCTAAAATTATTAGGAGCAATTAATCCTTAAAACAGCAGCATCTCCATCTTTGATCAAAATCCACGATTTCGCAAATGGATTTTTTTCTAACGAAAAAATGTTGAAAATGAGCACGCTGCAAAACATAAATAAATCGACAATTTCTATGTAAGAACGCTGAGGTCTGTTTTGATACTTATTGTTAGCAGAGAGGGAATAATGGATGACTCTAAGTGTGATTATAAAAAAAATGTTGTGAAGGGCTTGTTGAAAGAGTTGAAAACTTTTTTCAAAACGCTCTAATTGTGAGAGCATGCAAAAAGATATGGCCACAAATGCACAGTAAGGAGAATGCTTATGCGGTAAAGAGTTCTTTGACAACTGCTTACCTGGTAAACCCGCATCGCCCTTCTCGCCTTTCGATCCGGGAAAGCCTGGTGAACCGTTGACACCTGGCGGTCCAGGGCGTCCGAGATCGCTAACTCGCGCATTCAGATTTTTGATATGCTAAAATTGCTCTCGTAAAATCAATTAAATCGGTCATAAGCTTACTTCAAGGAGCATTTCCAACTCGGTTGCGTGCTTGTTGATCTCATTTTGGATCGCAATCACAGCAGCAGTGTCCAGTGCAGCCATTAGTGGCCGTGCTGCCAGTAGCAGTACCAGCCACATTTTTCAATTTCGTTCTATCACCAATACCTTGAGGCGTACTGTTGTGGCTGGTATTCCTTAAACATGGAAGAATTGTGAGCACGAACAAGGAAACAAAAAAAGGATCAAGGATTGAGCCAATAACGAAAGAGAACGTCGCTTATTTATCGGAGATATTGCCCTGTTTTTTTTTTCAAAAAAGAGGAAGAGAATGGATTTCGCTGTCAAATGCTGAAGAAGATTTGTTGGCCACAAATCAAACTAACAAGCGTTCGGTTCGACACCTTTCCCTGCTCTATGGAGGAAAAAAGAAGAAAAATAATCGCAAATGTTTCACCAGCAACGATGGGAGAGTTGCAAAAGCATCTGAAAAACATTATGAACTAGTGCATCAAAGCCCATAAAAATGAAGGTATTAAGTTTGAAGCCAAAATTCAAAAAATATTGACTATTCATTCGATGAGACCTTCAAAAATTTTTCAAACTATTCGCATCAGACTTTACTATATATAGAGATTGGGCAAATGAAAAGAGGCTGCTTTTGCCAAAACACTGTTTTGGCAAGGTTATTCCTTGTATGAAAGCTGGAAAATAATATGGCCATAAATTTTAGCCTTCCATATGCACTAATTTTCGGGAAAAAACTTAATAAAAAAAAACTAAAAAGGCGACATTTCGATATTTCGGCTTACTCCACCCCAGCTATAGAAAAATGCAACAGCTTTTATGTGAAAGCTAACTAGTGATGGAGATCCGTACGAATTTCTCGATGAAAATAAAAATTCTAGATTATTTCTCCAAACTCGAATTCCATCAGAAATGCAAATATGCAAACGCATCTTTGTAAAGCTTGCTTTGGTTCATCCAATACTCCACAACTAACCAGAAAAAGAAAAAATATGCGCTTATGAAAAACCTTATACTGGTAACGAAAGTTTGAAGAGCTATCATAGATTGTGCCATACATCTAATCCAAAGTATAAGACTCATCGTCTAGAAAATAATACACTTTTCAATGATTTGATTAAGTTTTGGTACAATTAAAGCAGATTAATGTTATTACTATTGACTCAGGTTATTATTATTTTTTGAGCAGTCAATTTAGACGGTAAGTCCGGAAAAGACATCAGTGGATCAAGAACAGCACAACTCGATATCGGTGCAAGGTGTAAAGGATACGAGGCGCAGATTCTGCCATTTATCACTCGGAAACACATGTGTCGAAACGTAATCGCTTACTGATAGACCGTAAATTAGCTAGACTATGACATAATGCACTATTTCGAGCATTCACGTTATTTCCTTACCAGTGCGTCACCTCTGCTTCGCAGAGGCTCGCACTGGCCCTACTTTCTGCATGCCTTACTCATTCCCGCAGAATAATGACATTGAAACTCACCGCACTATGCAGGCTATCACGAATAAATTGAAAACAACTACTCATTCTGAGAGCTTTTTTGTGTAAGATCGGTATTTTCGCGTGGATGAAACCTTTCCGAGAGGAATAAATGCAGATTTGAGTAGGTTTTTGGACTTTTTATGTTCTGGTAGTCGCCATAACGACGATGATCACTGTTGGCTACATCTTGGTGCAAAAATCTTCTCAAATGATCAGGTAAATTCTTTGAAAATTGAAGATTCACGCAACTAATTTTTTCGGCGCCATTTTCGTAAAGTGATCAACTTTAGTTCAGTTTTTCGAGCCAAAGCCTGTGGCTTAACACAGCTTGTTAATCATATTCATGACTTCGCAAAAAGTGGTGGAACAGGCCCAATTTTGCTGGCCAGAAGCCAAGTGGAGCCAGTGCGCCACCTCTGCTTCGCAGAGGCTCGCACTGGCTCTACTATCTATGTGCCTTACTCATCGCAAAATCGTGGCACTGAAACTCACTGCGCTATGCCGACTACCACGAATAAAATCTAAACAACTTCTCATTTAGAAAGCTTTTTCACGTGAGATCGGTGATTTCGTGTGGATGAAAATTTTCGCAGAAAGACAAACGCAAATTTGAATAGGTTTCTAAATTTTTCATGGCTTGGTAGTTCGCCATAAAGGCAATAGTGACCGTGCTCTACATCTACGTACGAAAATTTTCTCAAATGCTTGAGTAGAACCTTAGCAATTGACCATTTACGCAGCCAATTCTTTTTGGCGCCGTTTTCGTTATGTAGTGGACTTTTGACCACTTTTCGGGCTAAATTCCATCGCTTGCACATTTGCTTACCAAACGCATCCACCACTTTGCAAAAAGTGGTGATACGGACCCAATTTTGCGGGGTAAAAGCCAGGTGGATCCGTTTGGCGCGCAATTTTTGAGGGAACCACTCAACGAATCTACTCGTGCTTTTGCATATTGGGCTTCTATGAAGGTAGCATGCGCTATGCAAAATTTGGGCTCAAAAGGTTGGCTGGAAACTGCTCTACGAATTTCGTAACAGACACACTCACACATACACACACAAAAACACGTAAACACCCTTAGCCCGTTATTATAAGTTATGATTTTCTTCCGAGCTAATATTGCTCAAGCTGCCTGTTATGCTTCATTTCTCGCCAAGAACCCATAGGAGGTGGTGGTAATCTAAGCCTCCCTGCTTCTCTTTTACAAACAATCTGCTCAAGATTTGCAACTATGGGATCCCGAGAGCCAGTACGATCTTCAGAGAATGCAAGTCTACAAGCTAATGTCGGTGCTGAAACAGTTGCTGAGTTTATGACCAAACAATGCTCATTCGGACAATCTAGGGTAAGGCTTGTAAAAAAACGAATTCAATGAGCCACAACTTTTGTTCAGCTTTACGCAGAGCATGATGCGTTGGTAAGGAGAGAGAAGCATATTTGGAAATCTAACCGCAATACCGAGGTAGGTTCGACTTTGGGCAAAAGCGGACAGGTTGTAGCTGTATCCTAAAGTCTTCAATGTTCTAACTAACAAGAAAGGGATACTTGGTGACCCAGCCATTTAAAATGTGATGTATACCATGAGGTGCATCTCGAAACGCTGATTTTAAATCTGTGCTCGAAATCTGCGAAACGATATATGAAGGCAGTTATAAACTTTTTTTTCGTAGAAAAATTGCGTACTTTTAGGTAGTTGAAACCACCCAACTTGGTCTATTTTACCGTTTGAACCTATTAAGGAGAATCCTGAATGGCGCACGTTGGATTTACACCTATCTTAATCATATTCAGCATTTAAAGAGGAAAAAAATTTTCATCAATGATTTTCACCCTCCGCAGTAGGGCAATTTATTCTTGAAAAACTTATTACAACTCCATCCAGGTTTTCGTTTCCCAGATATGGAAAACAGTATTTGAATCAGTAAAAGGCGTATTTTTTGATATACAACATTATCAATGCCTGGGGTCACCAAGTATCGTTCCCTGTTAAGTCAAAATTCAATCTACCTCATAAATCTCTAAAAACTCTAAAAAATGGATACCTAAAGTATGAAAAGCATTTCTAAAAAATTCAGCTAGAGAGTCCTGCTCTTCATAACTTGCTGATGGCAATACTGATAACCAAGAGACCTTAGCTAAGATTTTCCAGATGGTAGCTTATGTGTTTCAACCGCAATTCAGTCACAAAGTCCCGCACTCAAGAACGGTAACGGTCCGTTTACAAGAAAAAAAATAAGGCCTGGCAAAATTTGATAAAAGTTTTTTGATCACAAATGAATCATATGAGATCCATAGGGGCGACTTGATTAGGACTCCACAATCCTCTATAAGTTCTCCTATAAGAAGCAGGTATTTGGACTTCCCTGGAAGCGCTTATAAGAATCTGATGCAAATCCTGCACGATAGCTCATTCTGATAAGAAGCGATTTCGAAGGCAAATTTGGTGTAGAGGAAGTCTTACCCATTTTTCCACACTAGGAAAACTTTCACCCAAAATCCTAGGCGGTGGTGCATTATAGATACCCCTTCCTCTTTTTCAAAGTTCGTCCGCGCAAGTAGTCCTCATCTATCAAAAAGATTCGACCTGTGCCAAGGAGCGTCAAATAACACCTTTGAAATGCAAAGCGCTGTAAAAGTCAAAAAAGTACACCTACGAAAATTCTTCCAGAAAAATCGAAATCCCGCGGCGGTATGTTATAATGAGGGAGCAGTAGAACTGACTACTTGTAACAAAAAAGAGGAGAAACTGGACAAGGATCGCACATACATCAATGCCAATATACTTCGATCTCCTTACGGAAACTTTATTTTAGCGCAGGTAAGGTAAAACAGTTTAGACAATTCCTTTGAAACTCACCATAATTGCTCTCCAGGCACCGATGGCAGACACGCTCATAGACTGGTATCGAATGATTTGGCAGATGAGAATTTCCATCATTGTATGCCTGATTGATCCTCAGAATACGTCATCTTGTGAACCTTACTTCAAACCCCGCGAGCACCAAACTCTCAAAGTCCGTTTAGTAACGATTCTAAAAAAATTGTTGATTTAAAAATTTCTAGACAAAAAATCGATTCATTGTGAAAACAATCTCAGTGAGAGAAGAGGATGGTGGGATTACAAATTATCAGCTACGTCTGACAAATAAGTTGTCATACGAGAAAAATCGTACACTTTACGTGATTGTTATGCCAACAAGGGTAAGAAAATTCAACGCATAAACAAAGTTTTCCTTGTTATTGTCCATAAAGTCTTTAGCTAGACAAGCCAGTAAACCCGCGAAGGCAGCTGAACCTTGTACAAGAAGTCTGGGCAACGGAAACGGTATGATTTGCTTTCACAGGCCATCCACCCGAATTGAGTGTGATGAGATTTTGATGTTTTGTGATAGCGGGGCCCCTAATTAAGCATCATTCCAAATCCCAGTGCAAAATATGAATTCCAAAGCGAGAAAACCGCTCCAGAAGGTAGAAACGGCCGAGGTGGCTCCGCCCATCGACGTGGGGGACTGAAGATAATGAGCTCGAGAGCAGACTTCATAGATGGAAATATTGAAAATGTGAATCATGATGAAGGACAGACTTACAACAGTACTGGATACATTGAAGCCCAATCATGGACTTGTTATCTTCAGACTACCCAAGATGATGGGTGGAGCTACCTTGTCAGCTTCTACTTCCCTGAGTGTTTTCTCGCCTTGGAAACCACCTTTTGCAGCAGGACTTGAACGATTGCATAGTTATGGTCCCCGGTATTAGAGAGCACCTATAGGCTGTACCAGCCAGCATCGGTTATGCGAGGTCGCGCCCGCGGCACCTTGCGACGATGCGGCGTGACGCGTGCGAACTCTGCTACCCGCTGGGGCACGTCGCATGCGACAATGCGTTGTCGCAAAGCATACCAGCGCGGGACCGATGCTGGTTGATACAGCCTATAGATCTCGCCCTCAGTTTGGATAGACGGTGCCTTTAAAGAATTTTGTGAAACGGGCAATATTTTCAGGCAAACTCTAGCGTTGGACAAGATACCGAACAACCTCCAGTACTGGTGCATGGCTGTTTTGGTGTTAGTCGTACAGCAGCATTTATAGCCACGTGCATGCTCTGTAAATCGGTATAATCCCCAAAAATCTAGAATGTTAGAGCATAAAAATTATGAGGCTCTACTCTAGCTTCAAGTGACCGGAGAGATGTCCCCTGTCGAAGTGTGGGCTCGCCTCAACCATGCCCGCCACAATGCAGCAAAGGAACGAATGTACTTCTTCTCGTCGATAGAATGTGCTTTGCTGTTCGCCGTGGACAGTGGTCTCATCTCAGCGAATAATCCAAATCTTATAGAAGCCAATAAGGTTGGTCAACCATTGTTTTTCAAACAGACAGCCAGATATGAAGCAAAAAATTCCAAAATTTTGCAGATGCTTCGTTCATACTATGAAGAAGATCAAAAGAAAGAAAGACCTCCATCGGCAAGTAAAGAATAGAATGCTTCATTTAACTTCAGAGTGTTATTCCTTACTTCTGCCTATCGTGAAACTTTTCAATAATATTAAAGTGTTTTTCTGTGCTATGATTTGTTCTCAGCTTTATGATCAGCCAATCCAGAATTATCTGGTTGAAAACCAATGCAGACTGAGGACCTGAATAATTCAAACAAATTGTTCCATGTTTGCATACGATCACCGTTATGGTTTACCCACAACGAAATTAACAGTTTTCTCTTTACATGAAGCTGAAGTTAACCGATGATAGTGATCTTCATGTATATAGAGCCCAAATATAACATAATAGGGGCAGCAAAAACATAATTAAAAGAAGCTGAGATTAATGGGAAGAGAGAGAAGATACGCTAACATTATTGAATCACTTCACGATAACAATAAACAATGAAGTATGATGTGGAATAAATGTAATATTGAGACCAAATGAGGTAATAACCAATAATGGACACATAATTTTTCTTCTTCTAAAGAAGTACGCCAGGAAGCACCAACATATTAGTTCAGTAGATGTTTGGATATAGTCAGTGGCAATGTTGGAATAAAAGCAAACGAATAGTAAGTGCTTCCAATGATGACTGAGGATCTATTTCATAGTAAGAGAGGAGCAGCAACGAGCCTCAAGGCTGGAAACATTGTCTCGTGACTGATTAGGAAGAAGAATAGCTGCCATCCTCCTAAAATTGTTTAGCGTTCAAAAAAGGGAGAAAAATTGAGTGGTGCACCACCGATCAGAGTGCTGACTGATCAACGAAAAATTGAAGTGATCACGTACCCATTGCAGAGCAAAAACAAATGCTTTGATTTGGTTATGAAACTCTCCACGCTTTTCGCGCTTGACATTGTTATACATTTCCACTAACTCGGTCATGATTTCATCCTGAAAACGCTGCTTTCAGGACCAAAACGAAATCAAAATTCAATCTAAGCCTCTCACCATATTGTTCACAAGCGGCCAACTATCAGGCACAGGAAGTGGAAGAGTGAATTTTCCTGCATGTGCAGTGCTGACGTCGCTCCTGAAATTAACAGGACTAACTTGATTCGAAAAAACATGAAGATAAAACTCACCATTTTCCACCAGACTCAAGTTTTTCCGATTTCTTTGGCCTACCACGTCGCTTTTTCTCTGTGATCACACTGAAAAGAGTTTGAAAGGCACAAAAGCAGAGCAGTAGAGACTTCGTACCTGTGTTTTTCCTTATTTGAAGACCCCAAAGGGGAAGTTCCTTCTCCGTCGTGTCCATTGTCCAGATCCTTCTTGCTTTTCTCACTGCAAGGTTTTCAAAATTTGCGGTGTTTACGCTATCAAGTGAGTTTATTCAAATAATTCCACACTTTTTGTAGTCACATGCTTACGCTGAACATAGCACCACTGCCAACTTAAGTGAGAAGAACTGAAAGAATAAAAATGCTTACAACATAAACAAACATACCCAGAATAGCTGCTCTTTGGCGGCCTTCCTCTTCTTTTAGGTGTGTGGGACTGAATTCTAAATTGATGCTTGTAGAATTACTTTTACAACAACAAAAAATTGAGACCTTCAGCTACAGAACCTCTACTTCATTTGTGCATAGATATCGCAACCATCAAAGGAGGAAAACCGCATCACAAAATCAAAATCATACAAACTTGGGAAAAAAGTTTTTGACATTCATTCCCTAGACCTTTCCAGGATGATGCTAAGGCACATGCCGTTAATAACTTAGTTGACTTGATCCCCTTCGCAACTGATCACTTATGATTTGACCAATAGCGAAGTGGATGAAGTGAATGAAATGGATCAAGTGTATCAACTATGACAAAGTGACAAACCATTCGGTAGAAAAAATGGAAGCGTAAAAAGCTCCACTTAGTAAGGCAATAGCACTGACGATTTGGAACCAAAATTCACGAGTGCACAATTCTGTCAAAAAAAAAAAAATCTTCTTCTGCGAACACTACGCCTTTCGCAACCTCAAGTTTGACTTAACTCAAACCAGCAATATCACGATAACTGTCAATATAGAAGAACTTGCAGATAAAATTAGAATCTATTGCACCCTAGCACAATGAGACTTATTTACGACATAATGAAACAATTATATGTTGATACACATATAAACCCTTACTGCACTCTTGAAGAATTCCTTAAAGATAAGCTGCTCACTATAAAATCGCACTCAAGAGCAAAAACAGAACAGTGTGAAAACTTACTTCTTGTGCGACTTCGGCGGTCTTCCGCGACGCTTCCCGCTAAAAATGCAAATATTCACTTCAACAACCTGGAGTGTCATCGAGACATGAAATCGGGGAAGGAATTTGACTACTCAAGAAAAAAATAGCAGAACAAACATCTTACCTGGGCATTGCCGATGGTGCCTTATTCTCATCTGTTTTCTTTGGTGATGGAGGTTTTGCAGGCATTTCGTCGTCGCTTCCTTCAGATGCGCTAAAACATCCAAACTAAGTATTGAACGAAGATACAACAAAGCCTATTTCTGCCTAGAAATATGCAAAACAGAAGTCTTGTTAATCTCATACTCCGAGTATTCTGCGTACGAGTAGGCTGATGGACGGCGACGCTTTTCCGACGAAGGCGATGGTAGCGACTGACTTTCTTCTTCATTTGGTGATTCTTTGCTACTTGCCAAAGCAGCAAGCTCAGCTTTCGATTTGCGACCACGTTTCTTGTGCGGAGTTCCATCAGAAGTCACATGATCACCGTTTCTAAACATCAAATACGAAGTAGTCGAAGTGAACTTAGGTAGAAAAAAAAGGGTCCCTAGTTTATAAATACTCTCACTGATTCAGAAACTTATGATGCCATGTAGCTATCCTCACATATAAAATTGTCCGAACAAATTAAAACCCGTATGCAAATTCCCAGCCATCTAAAAATCCCAGATGTAAGCTCCAATAAAAATGTTATGGTCCGGATTGTTTTGCAGTATTCCTATGTGCATCACCAGAGAGGTTCAAAATTCCATGAGCTTGTCGTAACAGAAGCACTTTTTTGAATTTTATGTTCATTCAACAATTTTCAAAATTTCTATCTTTTCTCCTGTCATGAAATGGTGGCATATGCTAATGCTAAAAAGTTACAAGCACAGGAAACGAGTACGGAAACGGAGTGGCCAGTTAAAGCGAAAATACTAATGACTAGCCAAGTAATAAATACGGTTCTAAGAAGGCTAGTTTGTAAAGAAAAAGTTTAAACGTACGGTGGCGCTTCTTCAGAATCTGCAGGCTGACGTGGCTTTTTCGGAGGACGTCCCCGTTTCCTCGGGGGTGGAGCGGGATTTTCAACAACAGATCTGAAAGCAAATGACTCCATTGAAGATTGCAGAAGAGGTCTGAGCAATTTTGAACTTCCACATGTATTTAACCTTGTATGCAACGCAGGAAGTGGAAGTCTGAAGGAGAAGTGAAAGCGATTTGTTTTCAAAGTTAAAAAAAAATCTATAGGCTAGCCGATCCCAAAAACGGTGTGACAAATAATTTCTCTGAATTTGAGTGCTACCCTTTCTTATCCGTAATAAAAAGACGGCGTAAAAATTAAGTAATTGTTTGGTGTAGGGAATATACAACAGTTTTGACAAGTGGAACCATTTTATTCCAACGTAATTACCCCAATTATAGATTTTTCAATCTAGTTCCATATTGTACTTCTAGCGGCAAGGCGTAATAAATGCAGAGGGCATAACTAAATTATCCTACTATATAACGATTTGGAAGCTCCAATATTTGAAAACTCGTGATATTCTGGGCCATTTTATTCTCTGTAGATCACATTCTCCAAATCAAAACGACAAGAATGCAATAATTTTGATTAGAGGCTACAGCTGCAAAAGAAAATCTGCGACCTCAAATTCTTGATTGGACACTTGATACAGGAGCTAGATTCTAAAATGTTACGTAGTTGACTTAATCGATATACCTTGCTACAAGAGCTAAATTCTAGAATGTATTATGTAGTTGTTAATCAATAGTCTGGCTAATGAGCCTGTAGATCTGTCCGAAATGATTTGCTCTTCATAGCAAAAACTTACTTTGGTTCGTTTGTGTTATTTTCTTCAACTTCCATAACCTGAAAAAAAAGATTGAATTACAGCAATGAATTACTGCCACCAGAAATGTAACAAAGTACACATCTGACTCATAAATCGATCGACAACAAACGCGACAAAAATATTAATTTGGTGAAACTCAAAAGTGCTTTTTGCAAAACGATAGTGAACGCAAAAATTCCATCTGCAGCACTCTACGACCGCTGACAATGAAGGACAACATTGCGCTAGAATCAATATCCCGAAATAACGACCACGGAAGAGCGTGAGTTTGACAAAGCTGAAATTGCGGACCTTGCGCGAACGACGATATTTCGAATTCTCGTTTTTTCGAGGCTACAAAACTTGCAGTAAACAATGGTTAAACTGACTCATATGACAGCGGATTCACTCTGTCAATCTGCAATGTCGTGTTACTACAAAAATGAAAGTTGTTGGGACATACTGAGAAAACTACAAACGACAGCAAGATTTTTTGTTGGGAAAAGTATCAGAAAAAAAAATCGGGAGGTAAGGAGAGGGGGGGTGAGAGAAAAAAGCTTCGGTAAGTACAAGTCAGTGATGAAAACAATTTTTACGTTCAGAAAAGCCCAGAATTGTTTTCCTCGCTAACTCGGCCTTCCAATCTTATCATTTCACCTTCAGCTGGTTGCCCTTACGCATGAGTAAATACAAATACCATTACAAATGCCTGCTCTGCCAACAATAAAATTGATATTCACTGCAAAACTAGAAGAAGAAGCAGTATTAACAGGCAACGCAGGCAGTGCACAAGTTGCATCTAAGGACGCGGCCCGGTGGTCGATTGTTTTGGTTGTTTATAAGAAATCAGAGAAGAAAAAAGATGCGAAAAGGGCAGGAAAAGCAAAGAAACTTTTGAATACCGGATAAAAACGCTGCAACAAATTTAAAATCTTTCAACTGGCGGTATTTCAAAGTGCAGGTTCTCGTTGCAGGACATCCACTACGCGGGGAAAACAAAAGCTATCATTTATTCTGTGATTAGGAGACGCGAGTCCGCATTGCACACATTGTCTAATCAAGCCTAATCGTGTACTTAGCAGGTTTATACTTGTTATTTATCTCGTTGAGATTTATTCATTCTTCGAAAACGGGGGAGAACAAACTCAAACTTGTTAAGACAATGTCCGCAATGCGGTCTCGCGTCTCCTAATCATAAAATCATTTTATATGAAGCTGAATGTTGTTTGTATGTTTGTATGTCTGTATGTCTGTATGTCTGTAAGTCTGTATTATGTCTGTACGAATGTTCCAGATAGAAAATTCCATTTCTGAACCGATCCAGGCCAAACTTGGCACACATACACTTCGAGGCCGGGCGGGTGTCATAGGCTACTTTTCGCCGTCAATCGATATCGATTTTATTATTTATTACATAGGCTACCCTATGTTGACAAAACAGCAATATCAACAAAAAAAGAACATATTCGAATGACAATGAACCAAAGGTATTAGTAACAATGACATATCAAAACATCCTACTGCAGATTCATGGAGAAAGTAGATAGTTCTTCAAGACTGCTTTGACCTGTGAAAGCTTATAATGGAGCATTCCCTTCCTCATTAGTTTATCAAGATTACTGCTTACTCTATTAACAAAAAACCTTCTCCTCACATTCCTTCTCGCTCTAGGCACCACTATCTTCATTGGCCCTCCTCTCGTTCTTGAGCGCCTCATTTGAAAAAAGTCCGAGGGATTGACCTGATACTCTTTAAACAAGATTTTGTGTGCTGTGTAATAAGGTCAGATACCCTTCGTCTGAAAGCTAAACTATTTAATCCAAAGTTTTTATTGCGCCGATTGCCATCAACTATTTCATCTAATCAAGCCCTTTGGTTCGGATCCATAGTTTTCTAGTAAAACTATTCTGCACTTTCTTAAGGGTCCGTATAGAGCTGACTTTCGTGGGATTGAATACTACTGTGCCGTACTCGAGTAGAGGTCTAATGTAGACTTTATAAGCTCTGATAAGGAGGGCTGGATCACCACTTGATAAAGCACGGAATAAGTTGTGTACGGCTGCATTGCCCTTGGCAGCAATAGTTTCACAATGTTTATCAAAGCTGAGATTGCTACAGACCAGAAAGCCGAGATCTCGACTAGGTCCAATGTGAAGAACTTTTGTTTTTTCACGAGAGATTGGCAAGTTCCATGTTTTCGACCATTCAAAAACGATATTTAGAACTTGCAGCGTAGCCTTATCTGCCATTGTTGTGATTGTTTTATAGATTTTGAAATCATCAGCAAAACTATAACAGGACACTCCTGCTCTCGAAACAAGAGCAGGAAGTTCATGAGTATAGATGTTAAAGAGTATTGGAGATAGTACGCCTCCCTGCCCTGCGGCACGCCACTAGACATCAATCTGAAGCGAGAGAACGTCTTATTAACGTGAACCGAAAATTTGCGATTGGATAAAAAAGCGGAGATCCAGGAAACAAAAATAGGATGGATACCAACTTGTTTGAGTTTGATTGCAAGTTTTGTATGTGAAACCTTGTCAAAAGCTTTCGTGAAACCGAGATAAACAACATGAATACTTTGCCCAGAATCCAACGAATGGGTCCAATTTCATCATTTTTTGTAAAGTTTGGGCTAGAGGGCCGAGAATTGGCAAAGGGGGGTAATCGAGCATGCTGATTACGATTACAATATTAGTTTTTGAAATTATCTATTACTTTTATCGACCTTATCAATTTTGCAAAGTTTGAGCTACGGGGCTGGGAGGCACAAGGGAAGTGAGCATGCTGATTACTAACACAGGGGACATAGGGAACTGGCAAATAGAAGTGGACACAGGGAAAAGTCGTACGGGGATAGGGATGGGAGCTTTATCATAATGTTTTGACAACAGGGCAGGGCGGAGCCGGGTAAGCCAGCTAGAAGACGATAACTTCTTCTTTGTGGTTATCTCAAAAATACCCATTTTCGAAAGCGTGGCTATCAAGAAGAAGATAAACGAAAGAGGAATTAGTTATGAGAACGCAAAGTTTCTTTTTTACTAATCGTAAGTCGAAATGCAAAAGCCGAATTTGTTCTCGACGCGTCCTTTAGATTACCCCGCATTAACGTTCCTGTTTCCTGAGACGTTGTCTGGATTATTGTGTTCACTGTTCTGTACACTTCGCCCAAATTGAAAAAAATCGCTGTGAAATAGCTGAAAGACAGCAACGCAAAGAAAAACGCACTTCTTACGATTTTCGTAAAAGAATCGACCATAATCGAAGAAGTAAGCTCTGGGACGCTTTCACATCATAAGTAGTAGCACGATCCACTGAATGCACGAAAAAACCGCGTGAAAAGTGTTAAACTAAAGAAAAACAAGCATTTTTCGAAAATACTGCTCTTGCCAGATTTCTCGTTCAAATTTAAAAAAGGGCTTTTGCGACGTTGTCAGTGTGAAAGTAAAGATCAAGAGCTTTAATATGATTTGCAACTTGCCGCAATTGGGTTTAGAACAACGAGGAAAAGGGTACCAGAGCTAAAAGCCCAGTGCTCCGTGCTAGGGGTAGGGTAGCGAGGTAGCGCGCAATGCGCGGAGACCCAGACAAGCAGAGAAGAAGGACCAGAGCGGACGGGGCACTTGGCTCCGGTTGTAAATCTCCGCGGGGTTTCAACGAAATCCTGCAATATTATATATCACTAGCTGGCTTACCCGGCTCCGCCGTATGTTCCGAATAGAGAATTCCATTTCTTAACCGATCCGGACCAAACTTGGCACACATACACTTCGGGCCCCGGCGGGTGTCACAGTTGGCACACCCCCACGGGGGTGATCAGCATGCTCGATTACCCCCCTGTGCCAACTCCCAGCCCCGTAGCTCAAATTTTGCAAAAAAATCGATAAAATCGATATCGATCGATGACGAAGAGTAGCCTATGACACCCGCCGGGGCCCGATATGTATGTGTGCCAAGTTTGGTCCGGATCGGTTCAGAAATGGAATTTTCTATTCGGAACATACGTACATACAGATAGACAAACAGACAGACAGACAGACAGACAGACAGACAGACAGACAGACAGACAGACAGACAGACAAACAAACAGACATTAAGCTTTATATATAAGATTCTGATTGTAATGATACGACTGGGAGCATTGACAACGTCAATGTGTGAAAAACAAGTGCTGAAAAACATTCATTGACGCAATAAATCAGCATTATTGTGCACTACTCCGCGCAAGATTTGAGCGCTGTCTCTCGTTTCTCAATGACCAACAGCTTTCGTAAACTTCTTGGACGGAAACGATACTCAATGTCCGTGGCTTTTTGAGACGAGATGTACACCATTACACTCGTTTTCGAACGCTGATTCCGAATCTGACTTCCGTTTCTGCTAATCGTTTCTCTGAAAAAAGTTATGTAGGAATTTCGATCCAGGTTTGGCCGCTTAAGGGAAATACGGTCATTGGAACGGCCTCTACTGCGACCACGTTCTGGTCTAATGGTTAGTGCGATAGCCTCATAAGTTGATGTAGGTTCAAATCCTTTGCATTTTTACTTTCGCATTACTTTTGCCTCAATTAACCTTGTTCGAGAAAGTCTCGAATTATGACCATTGAATACATTTTAGCGCAAACAGTAGTGATTTTTTCTAAAATTCCACATTTTTTCAAGAGTAAGGGCGTTCACCTTGAGGATGTGAAAGAAGGTTAATTGAGTCAACGCAAAACTAAAAAACACAAAAGGACTCGAACCTAGAGCTGCATCAACTCATGAGACTATCGCACTAACCACTAGACCACAACGCACCTATGTCATTGGCACTCCGACAAATTTTCACTGGGCAGCCAAACTCTGCGCGATCCATGATAACATCTTTGGAGCGATTAGCAGAAACGGAAGTAAGATTTGGAATCAGCGTTCCAGGACGAGTGTAATGGTATACATCTCATTTCAAAAGGCCACGGACACCGAGTATCGTTCCCTTGTCACTAGTAGTCTAGACAGGGGTTAAGTCAGAAATGTAGTCCTGAATTTTGGCGAAAATTTCGCAGAAACTTTCCCTGTGCGAAAAACACTATATAAAAGCGATATTTTGGCTTTGCTTCGATATATTTGAGATATACTTACTACTTCATCAACATTTATTCCGATATAGTTGAATTGTAACATCCGGGATGAAAAAAAAATGATCCGGGGCATTTCGCCCCGGATCACTTTTGTTTTCTAGGTGAGGCTTGTTTTTCCATGTCGCTCAAAGTGATGGTGATGGTTTCCAGAGTATATAACCTTTGATTCAACTGGCTTGGCTCTGTTAGGGCGGGGTCTTGTGATCTAAATGACGCCGCTCGCGCCCGCGGCGCACCTGCGTCTCTCTCGCGCGAGTGCTCTCTGATCACTACCTAGCCTTAATTAGGTCACAAAGCCCCGCCTTTGCCGAAGCCAAGCAGTTGAATTAAATGGTACATGGCTCTAGGTATTGGGGGTATGCAAACAATAATAATGCGAGAAATTTTTTTCTCAGAAAAGATCTAAAGCTGCAAGTCAAATTTGTGCTATAAATTCGGAATTTTGTCAAGACAATCTTATTCTAATTTTTACAAATAAAGCTTCAAAAGTATGTAGGTTACCATCTGGAAACCGTGCGTGCCGTCAATTATAACGTTCAAATCTACCAGAGTGAGAAACAACTTC